TTAGATAAATTTGGGAAAAATCAGGGAGTAACAATTACTCCTTTTATCTCGAATTGTGTGATACACTTGCCTTGTTATTTTGTCTAAAAGAAAAGATATTTTTTTTATTTAAAATAATCATTTATGTAACGCTATTTGAGGGTCAAATCATCCAAGTTTAATTATGAATTTAAATATAAAAAATATTATAAATTTTAAAAATATATTAAAAAAATAAAATTATAAAGTTAAAATTCTGAATCCATAACGTCTCGATATATTAATCAAACTATGTAGCTCCTCTCTTCTAGATCTTTTATAACTACTATAAAACAAGGACATCAATAAGAGTCACCACAATTATTACACTAAGTTCAAAAAAAATGGCAGAGTCCCCTACTACCTCAGGTTCTTTCTTCTTCATTTTTTCCTTTTTTTTTCTTCATATTATATTTGAAATACTGTTATATTTTTATTGGAGAAACATAGTCTAAGCATTTTCATGTTTTGTGATTTTTTTTTTAGTTTAGCTTTAGATGTTGGTTGTAACATGTTGAATTAATAAGAGGAAGGGTCTTGTGTTGCATCCCTCAATTTTCTTCCCAAGGAAAGAGTCCAGCTATTAATGAAATGAGTGAAAATTATGAGAATTCGAAGTTTAAAATTTTCAATGGAGACAAAATATGTTAAAGTAAATTTCTTTTCATATGTCTTGATCTTCTTAATTATTAGAGTTATTCGATACTTATGTCACGAGGTATTTGATAGTCGAGAAAAAAATCACCTCGTTTGTAAATGCACAAAACTCCTCTTTGTTACTTTCTTCATTTAAAAAAGAATGAGTTTATTTCCTTTTTAGTCTTTTTAAAAAAGAATGATTCTTTTCCTTTTTTTGCAACATTTTAATTTTAACTTTCCACGTGACATGTTTAAGACCACAAAATTAAAGGCATTTTGATACATTTGACATAACTTTAATTTAGAATCACAAGATTAAAAGTCTCTTTATTTTCTTAAAATTCGTTTCAAATCAAATTAGGTCATTTTTTTAAACGAAGGAAATATTTATTTTTAGTAACGGTCACTTTGAAAAACTAGACTATTCAATCAGTTACTTAATTTTACTATCTCCAGATTACAAGTACTGAATAACTCTATCCTCTAATATTTAATTGGTTCGATGGAAAGAAATCATCTTTTCATTTTTATCTTTTTTTGCTTGATTTATTTTATTGATCACTGGATCACACGTATTTAACGTCAATGTATAAAATAGTTATACTAGAGGTAGGTAAAACATTTATAACTGTCATTCAGTCATTTAATTTGTTGCAATCTTGATGGAATTGTTTCATTCTTTTTCTAATTTTGCATATTCATGCATTTTTCATGAACATTTTAACTTGTTTTCTTGATTTTTAGCTCTAAAAATTAGTTAATACATTTGTTAAACATTTTAGGTATGACTAGAAAAGTTGTAGTACTTTTCTTGATTGGATTATTGGCATATGTTTATCAAGCAATTACACCACCTCCTCCAAAAATTTGTGGTTCTCCCGGAGGCAATCTCATCACTGCACCACGAATAAAACTCTCCGATGGAAGGCATTTGGCGTATAAAGAACAAGGTGTTTCGAAAAATGAAGCAAAGTACAAAATTGTGTTCATCCATGGATTTGATTGTTGTAGACATGATGTTGTTATTGCCAGCACCCTTTCTCAAGTAATTCCCTTTTTACCCTTCTTTTCAATTTTTTAGGCTAGTCCGTGGAGTTAGGTAGGACTAAGGGGGGTTCAGTTTAATCGCATTTGTGAAATTTTTTTTATTGTTAAGGATAGAGAAAAAAAGAGTTCTTATCGGTCAATATGAATGGTTGAATTTTCTTGATATGGAAAAAAAAATTCTAGTTTAGGTATAACCTGATGTTTAAAAATTTATTTTGGTCACAAGTTCAAATAATATGTATCGTCTGTGACATATAAATTTCTCGTTTTGTCACTATTTGATGAAGGCTGAAACGTAGCTTGAAGGGTGGAAGGGGGTTCATTCGAACTCTTTTATCTCAATTAAGAAGTTCAATCGTGCGAGTAAAAGAAAAAAATGATTTTATTTTTTATATATATATAAATGGTTGAATAATCTCGAAAAGATTTAGTGTAGTGAGAAAGGGGATTCACTATTTAAATTTGGTCACAAGTTGTAGTTTCTTTCTAAATCCCCTTAGCTATGTTGTTTGGATTTTTTAAAAATATTATTTGAGGCGTGTTAAATCCTCTGAATGTATTGTAGGTCTGATACGTGTGTGATAATATTTTTTGAAAAATTTGAACAACGTACTCTCCTTTTATATAAATTTCTGACTCTGGCATTGCTATGCTGATATGTTGTGGTGCAGGATGTTATTGAGAGTTTGGGAATCTATATTGTGTCAATTGATAGACCTGGTTATGGTGAAAGTGATCCTCATCCACAAAGAACACCAAAGAGTTTAGCTCTTGATATTGAAGAATTAGCAGATCAATTGGAATTGGGATCCAAATTTTATGTTGTTGGATTTTCTATGGGTGGACAAGCTGTTTGGGGCCTTCTCAAGTACATTCCTCACAGGTATTGATCATTTTAAATCGTTTTTTCTTGAGTTGAGCATCGTCATTTTGAAACAATTTCTAGATAATTTTGCGTACGTCTACCTTTTTTAGATTCTACTTGTGAAATCATACTGGATAGGATGTTATTATTTGCAACTTGTAACAACTCTCCAATATTGTTGTCAAATGCGTGTCAGATCCTTCAAAACTGTTCTACTTTCCAACTTACACTGAATAAGTGTTAGTGTAAATTATTTGTTTTATACTGTGAGTGTATATAACGTAACGTAAACTCGTAACGTAACAGATTGGCAGGAGCAACACTTCTAACACCTGTGGTTAACTATTGGTGGCCTGGTTTCCCATCAAATTTGTCAACAAAATCATATTATGATCAACTTTTGCCTGATCAATGGACACTTAGAGTTGGTCACTATCTCCCATGGTTAACATATTGGTGGAACACTCAAAAATATTTTCCATCTTCTAGTGTTGCAGCTCATAGCCCTGATATTTTTAAAACTCAAGATATGCAATTAGCACCAAGATTTGCTGGTTCACAAGAAAAATATAGGGTAAGTATAATTTTGTACTTTGCTCTTAATTTAATTGATGTAGGTGAGGATTTAGGATTTAAACTTGACTCATTACGTTATTCAATTTTTATATTTTTAGTACTTAATCGTTATGTTTGTCGTTATCTTAAAAAAAAAATTATGGGTTTGGAGATTTGGTACTTCCTTTGGTTTACATTTAAGTGTTTGTTTGACTGGGCACGGAGGTTAGGAAAGATTAATTGACTTTTATATAATTATTGACATAGATGTAGATTCAAGGTTTGATAGGTTTAATCTTTATGTTTTTACCACTGAACTCGTTATACTTTTGAAATGTTGGGATCGGGGTTTAATACTCCCTCGATTTCACTTTTAGGTGAATTTATCTGGTTGGGCACAGAGATTAGGAGAGAAGATTTTTGGTACTTGTCATGATATTTGTGTGGTTAAAAAATTATGTAATGAAGGATAAAAAAAATGAGAAATTTTGAAGGAAAATTATTTTACAAAAGGGGGTATTCTTTCTATTGGGCATTTAAATAATGTCACGTAAATAGATGCGCTTTGAAATATTAATGTTTTTTACAAAATTTATCAAGTGATCTTTTCACTTCTGTCCAAGTCTTGATGTACTAAGTTATGTCGTACATGTACGGGCGGAAAGTTATAAGTATCTAGTAAAATTAGGTGACATTTTTGTTTCCCCCACGACATATGACTTTACTTCGAACTCTAACTAACCAGGATTAAAATTCAATTTAAAACTAGCTCAATTTTTGCCCAAATAACCTCAAATTTTAGATTCGAACCCCCTTCGATATTTCAATCTTTTTTAAATAACTTAATTTGTTAATTAATCCATTATTTTTCAGGCACAAATAAGACAACAAGGGGAATTTGAATCACTCCATAGAGATGTAAATATTGGATTTGGTACATGGGAATTTGATCCAATGGATTTAAAAACTCCATTTGATAAAAATGAAGGATTTGTCCATTTATGGCAAGGTGATGAAGATGGACTTGTACCTGTTATTTTACAAAGATATATTGCACAAAAATTACCATGGATTCAATATCATGAAATTAAAGGGGGTGGTCATTTATTTCCTTATGCTGATGGAATGGGAGATAAAATTATCAAAACATTTTTACTTGGTGAAAAATTTGAAATATAACGATATACAGAGAGATATAGACGTTCAGATATGATTTGATTGAATTTCGAAAAAAAGAGAAATCAAAGTTTGAAGTTGAAAAAGGGTATTTGATAAAGTTTGTTTTGACTTAACATGTTACATGTGTTTGTGTGCTCTGTGTAATGGCCACTAGTTGGGGCCTTGTCCTAGATGATATAAGATGAAATTAATTAATACAAATTTCATCATCAATGTAGTCTTGTTTTTTAAGTTTCTTCATTTTGATGAAATTATAAATCTTGTTAAAGGTATTTAAGATATATATATATATATCAAAATTATTAAATAACGCTATCAAAATTAATAAGAGAAAAATTAAATCAGGTTTAACATATCAAGATAAAGAAAAAATTGTACTATAAAATTATACAGTTATTCAAGTATGATTTGGTTGAATTTCAAAAAGAAAAAAGTGATTGAAGTCGAAGTTGAAAAAAAACTTATTTTTTAAAAATATTTAAGAGATGTATATATTAAATTTATCGAATAGCTCCTTGACATTGAAAAAAAATCAAATCGTGTTAAGTTTGAACAAGTACAATATTATGACATTTTTTTAAATAAAATCAAAATGTCATATCACAATTTTTTTAAGTATCATATCGAACGGATAAATTAAGTCCCCAACAATATTAAGGAACAACTTCAACGAATGGCATTATACATGTTTTTTTTTAAAAAAATATTGTTATTATTATTATTATTATTATTATTATTATTTTATAAATTCCTAGTTAATTGTTTGAGACTTTAATGCATGATGTAATTAGTTGACTATCTTGAAGCATAAATAATTTATTTTTTTAATCGGTAAAGTTTTAATAAAATAGATAAAATTTCTTTATGTTTAATCAAAGGTTTTGAATATAAATTCTGCATATGAAAAAGATTTGTTAGAAGATAATTTTCTCTTGAATAGATTTTAGGTGATGTCAATTTAATTTAATCGAAACTATAATACAATATTTTTTTTTAAAAGAAAAAACCTTTCTATACCTTGATAAGCTCATCTATTTGATACAACAGGACATAAAAAAAAAGAGTTATTTAATTAATTAAAATAACTAAAACTTCTAAATGAAACATTAATGACGTTCTGAGGCATGATTTTGGTTAGATAAACACTCAATAAAAATAATATTATAAAACATAGCATGATGACACATATAAAAGTAATACTTTAGTTTTTTTAACTTTAAAAATTATCGTCAGATGATTATGATTTTTTCATTCTTTATCAAATTTTATGTTATAACATTAAAAATGATAATTTTGTGTTATTGGATATTTTCACCCCCTTCTCCTTTAGTAGGCCTCATTGATACAAAATTATTTGATATACCAATTTCTTCTATATATTAATCGCTCAAAGAAAATAGTTTGCTATAGTTAAGTACTTCTTTTGTCTCAATTTTAACAATACATTTTCTTTTTTGGTTCCTAAAAAAATAATTTTTTTAGTAATTAATTGATTCTCACGGTCACTCATTTAAAAAAGCTAACTTCCATGTATATGCATTTAATTTACATATTAATTTTTTTTTATTTTATAAATCATGTTCAATCAGATATGATTGCATAAATTAAGACGAAAAAGCTATTACTCATGATTATATGTATGAGACTATTGGAATATTATAATCTTTTTCAATTTATAATCATTTTGTACCCTAAATTTACTTATTCAATTAATTCAAATCGATAGTACATAAACATTGATAATATTTAGTGATCTAAATCGTATATGATGTATTCATGTAGAGCATAGTCATACCTAGGTGGCCACCGTTTTGTAATATTTTATCAATTATATTTAGCTATACGTTTCCAACATATAAAATAGTGTTTGATAAAAATCATGGTGGAGTGATAATCGATAAATATAATTTTATTCTTAATTAAAAATAAAAGGAGAAAAGTAAGACGCCTAAAAAGGTGGAGTGAGTGCATATAGAAGAAAACCTTTTGAATATTAGAAAAAATGAAAAGTCAAATTATATGAGTTTGCTATTTGTGGTCAGAATTGTGCTTTGAAGTTTCATGAAAGTGAGATATTACATTGGAATTTGGTTTATTATCTTTTGGAATTTAGTTTGGTAATGTTTCGAAGTCTTAGCTCGTGAATATAGTTATCAGATTAGTTGACTGACAAAAATGAATGTCAATATTCGATAGAGACACAAAAAAGAAAACGAAGAGGGGGAGAGAGGGAAAGGGTTAATGTACGATCAAGGATTCTTTTGAGTCTGTCATTTAATATTATCCATATTTCAAAAAATTATATAGATATAACTCTTGAAACTTAATCTCGTGAGCAATGTTAAACTAAGGTCCAACGTTGGCTTACACGTGGTTCATCGTTATTGATAAAATATTAGATTGTCATCTAATCAACGTTTGATTTTCTAAAAGAGTCATGTACTAAAGAGTTATCGTAAAAAGAGATTTACGACGAAAAATTTTGGAGGGAAAGAGATTTAAATAGCCCAGTCTCTAGTTTCTTCTACATTTCATTAAGGCCCATAACTAATTCCTAGCCCATTTGCATGTACATTAGCAGCCCAAAAGCCCACAAAATTCAACAAAAGAAAACTTCAATGTCTCTTTCAACAAATTATCGTCAAATTATAGGAAACTTTCAAAAATAGCAAACATTAAGCATTTAGGAATAACAATAAAATATTAGGAGAGAAAGAGGAGATAGGGGAGCGAAATCTGAGAAGAGAGTATTTTTTTCACGAATTTTGGAGGAAAAAATACAACTGCAAATTGATTTGTATTAAGATGAACAGATATTAATAGGAGAGAAGTAGGCGAGATCGAGAGAGGTGAACGGGATCGAGAGAGGAAGGAGAGAGGATTGGATTTTGTATTTATTTATGTTATATCTGTGTTTATTTTGCATTGTATTTTGTACTTATTTTGTATTCTATATTTATTTTGCGTTGTGTTGTGTATTTATTTTGTATCAATTGTATTCGAAATACAACGAAATGTATTTTGTATAGTAATATTTATTTATTTTATATGAATTGTATTCGAAATACAACGAAATGTATTTTGTATAGTAATATTTATTTATTTTATATGAATTGTATTTGAAATACAACGAATACAACTGCATTCATAATTTTTTTGATTGGATATAAATACATTTGACAGAGAGAATGAATGCACATCGTTTTCACACGAATACAAATATAACTAATAAAAAAATATAAAATACAATTGAAATAAAAGTATTAAACTCTCGCCTATAATTGATTGAATACAATTGATACATGAAACATTTAAATGTATTTCTACTTATTGGCACGAGAGAGAAACATAGAGAGAGGGCGAGACTCGAGAGAGCAGAGCGCAAGAGGGAGAGAGGAGGAAGGGTTTGCTATAAGTACAAGATATTGGTCTCTTTTTTTAATAATATTTTAACTGTAGCTATTTTTCGTAAATAAGTTGCTAATTTTTCCTCAAATTATAACAACAATTTTTTCTTGATTTCTCACTCAGGGTCTTGTATTTGCATTGGGGGATTCGATTAATTTGTGTTCATATCACTTAAGGTCCATTTAAGGGATAAACACTTTCTAACGAGATTTTTACATACTCAATGATCGAACTTGAAACCTATGATTAAATCGCAGGGATCATATATATTCTACTTCAACCCTTGTTGATAACAACACGTAATTAAATATTATGTTAGTGCCCATAAAACACGAGCCGAATCGACCCATTTCGAGCAAACTCAAGGGAGTTGAGTGGAAGCCCATTAACCATACTATTGAGCCCAAACCTAGTTGGCTCAACCAACCTCTGGTTGATTTTATTGAAAATATTTTTTAAAAAATATAAATATTGCAATTGAAAAGATTTTTTTTTTTCAAATAAGCACTAAACCAAATGAAACTATTCATAATAGGTTACAAAGTACAAACTCCTAAATCTTAATATTAAACCTTATTCTTATCTTAATAATAAGTTAATTGTCTATCCATTTCTGGTTTTACCAAAAACCCATAAATTAATAAAATTAATTAATTGTATCACAAAGTATACAATTGTAAATATTAGTTTCCTATTTTATTATATTTTAAATGTATAGTCCAATCGCTATTAATGATGACATAATTGACCGTGTAAGTTGATAAACATTAAAGTTTATCTGAATTATTGAGTAAGTTAATAAAATCTCAACTCAAGTCAATTAATTAGATATTTTATGTTTAAATTTGAGATATTTTTATTAATAAAATTAAAAATTACGATAAAATATCTCATTCACATTGTATATGATAATGATATAAAGCGATATTTCTTAATAAAATAACTGTTACACAAAATATAAATTATTCAAAATTATAAATTTCAAATATCGAATGGTTAACAAAAGTTATGTTTGAAAGGAATATTCATGTGCCTTTTCTATTTCAACCCTTTCATTTTCAAGGTATTATATGATTAGATTCCATGAATTATTTTTTGGCCAACATAAAAAGATTCCATGAATTTTCTACACTTCATTTTCATTATATAAAGATTGTCCCCAAAAATGTGATGTAATAATCTTTTTCAACGTAGCTAATCACATAACGTAACGTAATAATTTTGTCCCCAAAAACACCTTGTAATAATAGTGTAATTGTGTAACATAATGTTGTGTCAAAAATATTTTGTATAACTTTTTTTCTATATATGTGTCGCAAAGCTATATGTTAAGATAGTCAATCATTTCGTAAATCGGAGAGTCAAGCCCCAAAATATTACTTTGACATTTTTATACTTATCTTGTTAATGACTGACTCTGATATTAATTATCAAAGTCAAAACAACTAAAATATACTCTTAATGTCACTTATATTTTTCTCTTTGAGACAAACTTACATTGTCTTCATCAAATGGCTTCACACTATCAAATTAGTTACTATACATATTTATTGATGTTAAAAACTTATATATAGAGAGAGAGTTGTCTATTTTTATTTTTTATTATTAATATACTTATCTTAATTTATATCTCACTGTACACTCTTTTAATTAATTTATATACACTCTTTTAATTAATTTATTATCTTTGTCACTTTTAATTATTTTTTTAAAAAAAATATGTATTTTAAAAAAAATTAAAAGTAACCTTTACTTTTAATGTTTTTATTTTTTAATGTTTTTTTAAAAAAAATTTTTCATTTATTTTGACATTTGTTTGAAATCCACTTATGTATAAGATATATGGAATTAAATTTCAAATTAAATCAAAACGAAAGATAAAGAAAATAAAAAGAATAAATAAAATCAATAGAGAAATAAAAGAGAAAACACAATGAATGAAGGCAAAGAAAAAATAAGTGGATTTCAAACAAATGTCAAAATAAATGTATATTAACTTAATTCAAATACAAGATAAAGAAAATAGGAATATTTTTAAAAAAAAGGTAGAAATTAAAAAAATGAATATTTACACACGTGCAAGTAAGTGTGTACAGACACAATAAATTTGGGTGGTTGAAAGTATCACCTCAGCACAAAAGGTGCACAAAAATACGAAAAAAATTGAGTTCAAGGAGTAGAATAATCCAAATTAAGTTTAGATGTGTGTCTGAAATCTCGATTATAACGTAGGAATACTTCTACCATATTCCTAAAAATATTATTCAACACTTAATAAGTGATTTTTTTTATATTTATTTACATGTACAATATTAACGGCTAATTTAAAAACTAAATATTATATTATGCAAATCACAATAATTTAAGATTTTTTTTCTAACTTTTTTTTATTTTTCACGCCGGCAGGTTTTATTGACTAATGAATACAATTTTATAGTATCAAAAGTCATAAAACTTGGAAAAACATGACAAAGAAAATACTTAAAGAATTGAATTAATTAATAATAAAGTACATATAAAAATTGTGCATGTTATATATATAATATAACGTAAGGATTAAGGCAAACTCTCAAAGTAAAACATAATTATTAATTTTAATTACTTGGAATTCACAACATCAACTTTTTTCCATTTAAAATATTTGTAATAATGGTAGCTCAATTCAACAAACAACTACAATCATGTTGTGGAGCTAGTATTTTATTTTATTTTTTTAAAAAAATGAGCTTATTCTATATAAATTGTTTAATATAAGTTATTTTATTTTTAGATTATTAAGTCATCGAAAGAATATATAGTTACATGAAGTGGACATGTGACTTTTTTTAATATGATATCGATATTTAAAGAAAGTAAAATGAAATTATAATAATTACGTCGAAAATAAATTTAAACAGTAGAAAAAAATGAAACTATCATCAATTAAGATGAATAGTAAATAATCTTAAAATATAAGATATATCATTTTAAAAAAATAAATTATGTGAATTATCTGATAATAGCGATGAAGTCAGAAATTTTTTTAATAGACGATTCAAAATATAATAAATGACACCGAAAGCTCTTTGCTTAAATGTGTTGATAACTTTCTTTAATTTTAGCTTTGTGGCACTCTTTTCATTTTGATGTTTTTTTTAATTTAACTTTTTTGAAACAATATACATTATTTAGTGTAATTTTGAAGTGACGTTAAAGTTATATTTGTGTGATTTATATAAATAATGGTTGGTGTCATGCTTTTAGTTATTATATTTGTTCTATTTTGGGTGAAAGAGTGTAAAATATGTATAAAAATTGAAATACTTATTTAGAATTATAAATTAATTAATATTTTTGAAAATTGCCTAAAATTTAATTAAACATCAACGTACTAATGATTCAAAATGTTAAAAAGCTTGAGAAAATTATAGGAAAAAAAACTTATTTGATTTCCCAAATAATAATTATCTTTTACTTAAAATAGAACGGAGAAAGTATTAGCCAGTATGATTGATCACCATCGATAAAAAAGAATTTCAAGTGTCAAATACGTTATTCACGTCACACCTATTAGAATATAATTTAAATTTCTTGAATCTTATATAAACATAAAATATTTTGGTATCCTTTTCATAAAAGTTCAGATATATATGAAACTCAAATAATTATATATGTGTTCTGTAAAATAGTTGGCGAAAGTTCAGATACAAATTCAAACACCTAATAAAACGTTTTCCTACCTTATTTAATTTGATTTTTTTAACAAAACTAAAATATTAAACAATATATATAGATTATTTTTAAGTAGGTACAAGTGTGTATAATTAGGTGATGTCCATCTTCTTTTATCAGCACACCAAACAAATTAAATTAGTTTTGTCATTCTTAGTGGAATTTTCCTCAAAGCAAAGCAAGAATATTAGTGACCCCACCAATCACTTTCTTATACAATCAATCACACACTATTATACTTTATTATAGTTATTGTGTCACTTTATTTTTAAAAATTGGGATAATGCACGAATATTTCCTCAACCTTGCTCAAAATCTCAAAGATACATTTGTACTATACTAAGGTCTTATTACTTTCTGAACTTATTTTATTAATAATATTTTACCCCTTTTTGGTCTACGTGGCACTATCTTGTAGGCTCAACGCTGGTTGACTTTTTCTTTCAAGTTAGTGTCACGTAGGTCGAAAAGGGGTAGCAAATTACTTATAAAATAAGTTCAGAGGGTAATAGGACCTTAGTATAGTATAAGTGTGTTTCTGGGATTTTGAGTATAGGTTGAGGGGGTACTTGTGCATTTTCTCTTAAAAATTTAGTGCTCTGATTAATTCAGATTTATATAAATTTTTGAAAGATTAGTTGATAAAAGATTTTCTCATTTTGATTTTTTTTTTGAGCTTAAATCGAAGATGTCTAATTAAGAGTAATTTATCCATTTCATTTTTTTGATTAGTTTTAAATATCGATATATCAATTTTTACACATGATATATTCAAATCGATTCAGTGTCAAAGGAGATCAAATAACACATAGCTAATTCAACACATATATGAACAGTTAAGCACAATATTATTGTGACTTTATTTTATTTTAGGAAAAAAAATTATATACACACCTTAAAATATCTTGTTTACATAAATCGAATAAACTTAAAAATTTATTAACTACACACCTTATTTATATGAATTGAACGAACTTAAAAATATCATATTAACTTACTTAAAAATATCATATTAACTTAAGTTGATTTTCCACCTACTCTTTGTGTTCAACTATTTTTGGCAATGATGATGTTTACATATTAGCATAGGTTTGCCAGAAGAGACATGGCATACAAAATATAGTTAATTGAAATTTAATTTATCCTACGTTAATATAAAAAATATCAAGTGCGACTAAATTTTTATCGTCACCTAAAAATTACTAATATAAAAAATATCAAGTGCAAATAAATTTTTATCGTAAGCTAAAGATTACTAGTGACCTCCCTTATTTCTTGTTAGGGTCCATCTAAAGCTTACCTACCTCAACAATTGATGTTCAATAATAGAACTTTTATCTTTTACCTGTTTTATAATTATTTAATTTTAATTTTATATTTGATATATTTAATATCATAATATTAAAAGATACTTTAGTACATATGATATATTTTTAATTATAACGATAAGATTCAAAAGTATTAATTTTTATTTTTCAAAAATTCCTGCAAAGTTCAAATAGACCAAACAATTTAAGATGAAGATTATATATATATATATATATATATATATATATATATATATATATATATATA